TTCGATCTATCTTCCTGAAGTGCATGGTTGGCCCTGGAGGGCTTTCCCACTTTACTAAACCTATGGACCTTCATCCGTCCATCCATTTGTCCATCCCGTCGCTCTTGCATTCATCTCTTCGACCTAACTTCCTAACCTTTGTAGTTGCAACATCTAGACGACCATTGTCCTCGTTCCTTTACACCCTGGCCATCTTGATGATGATCGATATAACCATCTGATTTGAGTCACACATCCCCAATCACGAACCTGATTGTGGATCCCGATGTCGTCTGTCCGTCATACGAAAATACTTTCTAACACCCTTCCTGTTTTCCGATGATGGCAGCGACCTCTCACCAACTCCAAACCAATTGCTCCTTGTCTCCTGTCAGTTCGGTGCATGTCTGTCGAAGGGTCTCGACGTGTGACATTCTTGGTTCCAATGTCGCTCACGTTGTCTTTCCGACGAACAAAATCAACTTCAATCCTCTCCTTTCGACGAGATCTATCTGCAGATGAAACTGCGAGAAACAGAGGATCGAAAGATCCTGGTATATGTATGCATATCGGAGCTCAGTTGTAGAGCTCACAACCTGAACGAGAGAGAAAGAGAAAACAAAACGAATAGCCAGTCTACTAGACAGTAGAGCTGGAAGGATATTGATTAAATTAGAGAAATTGTGCGTTCAAGTTCACACCTTTTCAACATGGATTGCGTGGTGGGAACACCGATAAGGTTAGCGTTCATACGTCAGTCGGAGGCGTGGTGACCAATAGGCCGTCAAACTTGACAACCAACAACCACTATCTCATCGAAGCAGCTTCAGAGATACCGGTCGAGCTCTTGATAGGGCAGCTTCAATTGTTTGCTTTTATAAGCCATTAGATAGTTAGGATCCAAGAAGATCGTCGGCAAAAGTCCATCATATTCAACCATCATGTTTGCTAAAAGTTTGCCCCTTGTGCTGGCGCTGTTGGAACTTCAGAGGGTATCCGCATGGGTGAACAGCCCCACTCCTGCAGTGTCCCGATCCATCCAAAGCCAAGATGGATGGATGATTCCAAACCACCACCACAAGAGACATCTTTTGAGCAGCAGCAGCCTGGCTGCGACTTTGGAACCCCAAGAAAAAATTGCCAGTGATGATAATTCTTCCCAGAAGAGCCTCATTCTGGATACCCTCGCATCGGTTGCCCAGGAATCCAAAGAATACGCATCTACCTTTGGAGTATCTCATACCGAAGCTGCAGTCTATGCCGTCTTTTCCGCCATAAGAAACTCCAAAATTCCTCTGGGCATGACAGGAGCCCCCTTTGTGTTACGACGCGACGAAATCATTCAGGCACTCCAAGTTGAACAACCGCCGTTTGACCACTTTTTTACCCTACAAGATTTGGCCACGGCGGTAGAAGAGGACTTTTTGGATGCTGCAAGAGGTTCCACGGATAATCGAAAAGGGTGGCAGGTAGGTCAATACATTATCGTCATCATTGGAAAAACAATCGACTTTGATTATCCCCGTTGATCGGTTTGTCAGTTTCTGACTTTTTCCTCTTGTCTACTTGCTAGATTACAACTGTGTCTAATCCCCGAGGTGAGTCGTTTGAGGAAGCTCGCATGACATTTGAAGATGTCGAAGCCGCATTGGACAAGGGAACTGTCATTCTGAATGCCATTGGAGCACACGTCCCAAAATTGGCAGCACCGGCTCTGGCATGCACCGATGCTACTTCCTTGCCCAATGCCATCAACCTCTACGTCACGGCGGCTGGAAAGAGAACTAGTGCACCCCCACATACCGATCGACAAGATGTAGTCGTGGTGCAAACGTCGGGACAAAAGCATTGGAGAGTCTTTGCACCACCCAATCCAGCACAAAAACCAATGGCAGATGTCTTTGCGCGTGGTAAAGGAGACGACAATCTTCCCCTGCATGTCCTCTTGGATGAAAATAGTGGAAATGAATTGCTCGTGGAAACAGTCTTGAACATGGGGGACGTCCTGTTCATCCCTGCCGCATTTCCACACACGACAAGCACTTCAAACATTGCCGACGAACAAGATGCTACCAGTGTTCACTTGACCTTCAACATTGACTCGCATGTGTGGGAACTGGATTATTTGAGTGCCCGGAGGTTGGCCTTGAAACGAGGCTGTGTACATGACGCGGTATTGGGACAGACCAAGGACACGGACAATCGTTATCAAGGCAAAGTCAATCAGTTGCCTTCCAATGTTCGTGACGATCTTCTCAAGGCACTGCCCATGGGTCTGCTGGACGAAGATGGCGACACTGTGGACGAACTCTTGAAGGAAGCCACGGCAGAATTAAAGAGGATTAGCTCGGCTGTGGATGAGGAGACGGCAGCCGCAGTAGATGAGCAAATTTGGGAAGATACCATGGTTCGTCTAAGGCAACAAGGAATGGAATTGTTGGAAACGCATCGGGACATGTACTTGGCAGCCATGCAAGAAGGAAAGACACGAGAAGCTGAGGAAGCAATGACAGAACACCTCGGAGACTCTGCCACAACATCTAGGAAGACCATGACACCCGAACGCATGCAACGATTGAGTCTGTTTCGCGTCAAGAAATACTATGATCAGATTGATGCCAGCAAGAATTCCTTGAGGGAATGGTCGTACCTGGGAAAACCTGCAGAACAGGGTACAACAACAGCGGGATCCGCCAATACACTACCCGCGGATTGGGCATTTACCTTGCCGGTCAAGATAGGAGATCAAGTGGAGGCAGATCTAGGCGGAGCCTTTTTTGACGCCACAGTGACTCGCGTTGCCGGGAGCAAGTACGATGTTCAGTTCTTTGATGGAGACTCGGAGATTGGTCTCGACCGCAGCATGCTCAAATTGAAGACACCCCCGGCCATGGGCAGCGACGACGAAGTGGATACCTCCAGTATGACACCCAAACAATTGAAGCGATGGCGAAAGGAGCAGGAAAAGAAGAAGAGCTAAGATTCTTAGCTCTTCATTAGCAGTTCGTTACGGGAGTTGCTAGCTAGCTAGTTCCGTATCTTGGCGGCTTCCTGTGCCCCCTCTCTCATTTGCAACGGCTGGAAGAGCTAGCTAGTGTGTCCCACATCCCTGCAAACGTTACGTTAACATCGCCACTCCTAGCTATCATAGCTAGAGTCGTCATGATCCCTGCCAAGACATTGAAAATGAAAACCCACCGGGCGCCTTTCGTGAAGTTTTTCGCCCGGTTACCAGAAAAGATAAGAAAACCCACGGACCTCGGCTTCACCTCTGTTTCAGACCTTGTCGAGCACGGCGTTATCCGCCATTTCCTGCTCGCACCGCCCTCAATGATTAATAATCGTGAGACGCTATTTATACCGGTATATCTAGCTATGGAGAAGCTTGTGTGATGTAAGGGTAACTAGATTTTTAGTTGTCATTCCTAATTCCCCGGGCCCATGTTATGTCCATTGCAAATATATACATTTTTCAGCAAGAGATTCGTTCCCATTGCGCACTGGGCACTTATTCGTCCTGTGGTTCGTCATCATCAAAGCAGGAGTCCCCCGTGAAGAGCACCGGAGGCGGAATGGGCACCGGAAGAGAGAAGGTTGGCATGGTGGTTTCCGTCAGACAATCGTCAAGCCCCGCCAACATGGCGTCCAAGTCGGCATCCAAATCCGCAAAATCTTGAACATTTTCTTCCACATCCCCAAACAATCGACGTCGGCGATCATCCAAGCTCAATTTACGTGGCTGTTGGTACGATGATCGTCGCTCTGGACTGGCATCCATATCTCGAGATACCGAATCACTGTGTTCCCAATCCAACGAAAGTGGAAACAAACCACAAACCGGATGGTCTCCCTGGATGACCTTGTACTCCCGAATCTCCACGCTTGGTCCCCATGATACCCGTTTCTTGCTGTCGTCTCGCAATCCCGAGTGATCCGACCCTACCGAAACATAAGAGAGATCCCCAATCGATGCATCCAAGTCTTTGGAGGCAGACGCCATGCCGTAGTGTGAGAATCGATTCTCCCCCAGAGTGTCCTTGGTTGTCAGTAGTTTCATGTCGTTGAGTTCAGGAAACGATGCGGAAGATGGTGGTGTGTGTGTGATGATCATCTTTTGTGCGTGTTGACTGGTAACTTATTTTATTGGCTCTTTGATACCGCTTGTCGGAGTTGCTTGCGCTATTTTTATGCGCTCGACTCCAAAGGGAAGCAGCAAGAGTTCTGCTCGGAGTACGTGGTTTGATGATGATCGATATGGCAGGTTGGCTCCTGGTTCCTGGTTGCAAGTGCTTACCACCATGTGTCGGTGGGAATCGGCGAATTCATTTGCAGTTTCCGTTAGTCATTACCGAGCATCTCACTGCTTGTCGTGGCTTCCTTCTTGTGGACTGCCTTGGGCTATAGTAAAAAACTAGTAAACCCCGTTCATAAAGACCATGGTGCCGCAAAGAAGAAAGCATCTATAATTCTGTGAGTCAGCCTGAGTCTTGGAGATTAGATCCAGAGTGGGCGAAGAATCTTGAAATGCCAAAAGGGTTGGTCTCGGTTGCTTGAGAGGTCTACAGAAATTTGTCAATAAGATCTCTCGGACGGTCGATGAGAAGCAAATCCATGACTGTATGACTGTCACGGTCGAATGAAAAGAAGCACAGAAGCACATCCATGACCGTCACGTGCAACTTTAGAGCTTTGAGTTCCGCGGTTGCCGATTATTGCTACATCAAATTTTGTACCGGTGACTGAGAACGTTCGCCAACCACACGGATGGATGAGCCAATGGTACCAGCCAGTACCGCCGTGGGCTTTGGAATGTTTCTTTAGGCTTGTGGATGACACGATGCCGGTGGGCTCATACCGTTGGCTTCGGGGTTAGCTAGAAGAGGCTCGAAGAAGGCTGGCTCAGTAGTTCCTAGCTCCTCTCATTATCATGCCTTTCTCGTCCCGCATTCGACTCGATCCAATGCGGACAAGTGCAAGAGGCGCAGGGAGCAGATTTAAAAGTCAGCCAATTTTCATGACAAAGATACATGTAAGCCCAAAAGAGGCAGCAGTGCAGGACGAGCAGCACTGTCCGTTCGGGCTTTTTGTTCGCAACTACACGGGTTAAGAAACCCAAATCATGCATGGCTTGCAACCTGGACATCAATGACACACTGATCCTTCGGCTCCTCAAGGGTGTGAGGACATAGCCCAAGAATAATTTGAGTGCTCCGAGTCTTGACTGTAGTTGCCCATGTCCAGTCACTTGTTGAAAACAAGGCACCTGCATCACTGTGCAGCTAAGCCTGCCATCATGATCTGTAATCAACTTGGATCTATTGCATGTGAATGCTTTGGTTCCTCTGTCATTCAGGTGGTACCCCCTACCATCTATCCCAGCCCCCTGCCGGTCAACATATTTCACAACACCCTAATGACGTTCTGTTCTTCATCAATTGGCTGCCCTTGTTGGCTAGCTAGTAGAGCCACGCATTGATGTCTCCACCGATCCCAAAAGCCAAGCCCTTTGGCCCCTGTGTGGGTCCTCAATTAAATTATCTCCCATCCCACAGAACCCAGTAGTCCTGAATTCCACCTGGCACTGGCTGGCTTTTCTTACAGTAAAGGTAAATAACCTCCCAGTTGTGACCCCCGCACTCCGTTTTTCTTCGGAGTGTAAATCCTACCTGGTACGTACCATGGAACCAGTACCAGGTAGTTGCAATAATATTGCTACGAAGTCACGTCACCAGATCCAAGTGGAACGCGGAAGAACGCCCAAATCAACAGCAATCACTGATCATCGAACATTTTAGGGGGTTTAGAGTCGAGTCATCACATGGAGCACTCCTCCCAACCTCCAATCTGCTTCGCCGAGCTCCTGTATTGGTCGCACTACTTTCAGCTGAGGCTATCGGCTATCAAATCTGAATGAGCGTGGCCATCACAGAATCGACCAATCGAGGAATGGGGCATGTAGAACAGGTAGACCGAGATGAGAAGAGCAACCATTCATTGGATTGCGAAGACACTACACCTACCAAAGACCTGCGACAGAAGATAACGGAACTTCAAGCGTCTTTGGAAGAATCGAAAGAAGCATTGCTCCTGAAATCAAAAACTCTAGACTCTGTCCTTGACCAGGTGTCCGATCAGGTGGTGGTAGCTGATTGTGACACGTGTGTCGTTGTGGAAGGAAAGAATCGGGGTCAGCACGTGTGGGAGATACCTCCCTTTTCCAGCTCGTCGATGGACTTCTGGAAGCCACTCTTGCAAAAAGATCGAGGTGAAGAAGCAAGTAACTTGGAGCAAGATGAGTGGAACATCAGTCTCAAGCATATCCCAGGGAAATCACGACATGTCATACTACGCGCTCACAGAACCGACAACAATAGCGACATCATTGAAGCAGCTCTGAAAGAGTCGGAAGAACGACATCGCAATCTCTTTGAATCCATGGTTCAGGGGGTAGTCTATCAGGCTCAGGGTGGTAACATCATTGCCGCCAATCCAAGTGCCGAACGCATCTTGGGCTTGACTCTGGATCAAATGAAGGGCCGAACGTCGATTGATCCCAGGTGGAAATCCATTCACGAGGATGGCAGCGATTACCCCGGCCAAACACACCCGTCCATGGTAGCCTTGTCCACCGGAAAACCTGTTACTGGGGCTGCCATGGGCGTTTTCCATCCCGTTGATGAACAGATCCACTGGATAGTTGTAGACGCAATTCCAAGGTGGCGCGCGAATGAGACAAAACCATATCAAGTTTACGCTACCTTTACCGACATTAGCGACCGAAAACGCTACGAGGTTGAAATCCTCAAGGCAAAGGAAAAGGCAGAGGAGGGCAATCATCTCAAGAGCGCCTTCCTCGGCAACATGAGCCATGAAATCCGAACACCGCTCAATGGTCTGATGGGACACATAGAGCTGGCCCTCTCCAGTCAGCTATCGGAGGATAGTCGACAAGAAAACCTTGAAGGCTTGCAAATTGCCATTCAGTCGGGGCGACTGCTGATCAATATCATTGAAGATATACTGGATCTGAGCAAGATTGAGGCGGGACAAATGGATGTGTCCAAAGATCAGGCGTTTCCTTTGAGGCCGATCATGGAGCAAGTGAACAGTGTTGGTAACATGCTCATTACCCAACGCAAAAAGACAATTTCGCTTCGGACAAAGGTGGATCCAGACATTGCCAATTGCATATATGGTGACTACTTCCGGATACAACAGGTTCTAAACAATTTGGCCAGCAATGCGATCAAGTTCACCGACACTGGGTTTGTGGAGATACGAGTCGGCTTCGCAGACGACAATACGCTGTTGGTTGAGGTCCAAGATACGGGCAAGGGTATCTCAGAGGCGCATGCTTCGGTTGTCTTTGAACCTTTCAGACAAGTTGACTTTGGGGATACACGCAAGCATGGTGGGACCGGTAAGGACACAGTACCCGTGCTGTACATAGGATGCAACCAACAAGGAAAAAAATCTTCTCACTGTTAACGTTCTACAACAATCCTCTTTTACAAGGCCTTGGGTTGACGATTTCCAAAAAGCTGGTTCAGCTTATGGATGGTTCATTGTCTGTCAAGTCAAAACTCAAGGAGGGGTCGACATTCTCATTCACGCTGCCGTATCGTGTAGCTCCCGAAAGAAGCGAGCTTCAGATGGAAGGTCCTTTAGGTAGCGCCGGTGGCCTTGGATCACGTCCCAATAGCCGCAACAACCTCTTGGCCCTTGCCGAAGCGGCTGGCGTAGCCTCGGATGGTCGCGCTAATTGCAGCAAAAGCAACAATTCACAGAGGAAACAACGAACAGTCCTGATTGCAGAAGACGATCCTGTGAGCCGGAAGATTGCCAATCGAATGTTAGCCAAAGCTGGCTACTACGTCATACTAGCAGAAGATGGGCTTGAAGCCGTGGAAGCCTTTGAAAAGACTACTGATGGCATTGATTTGATTCTGATGGATATTCAGATGACACACATGGGAGGTCTGGAGGCCACACAACGTATCCGGTCAATGGCCAAAGATACACCGTACGCTTCGGAGATCCCAATCATTGCTCTGTCGGCTGGAGCCATGAAGGGTGACAAAGAAAATGGGTTGGCCGCCGGCATGACAGACTATTTGACAAAACCCGTCAACTACAAACAGCTATTGGCAACGCTTCGACAGTACATTGGTGAAAGGGGGGCCGACAAGAGCAATGGTTGACACGTTCACTGTCAGGGGGTTTTAGTGATACCGTGGATCCCCACATATAGCAGAGAAGCAGCATGACGCATAACATGTGTAAAAATAATCACTAAGCTAAGATACGTCTTTCCTGTAGGATAGACTACGTGAAGCCCAAATTTGTAAAGGGCTTGGTAGATTGTCACGTGTTGTTCGTTGTTCCGTCTGAAATTGGATATAATAGACTGGCTACATGAGTTTGGAATCCAAAGATGAGTATCCTCTTGCGTGAGTGACTGTGATGATGTGTGTCAGATCAATCAACCAGCAGGACTAGAGCAAAAATGCAGAGGTAAAACTAGAGCCGTTGCGAGGTGTCCATGATACCCCACAATTTGTTGGCGATTTCAAACTTGGTGTGATCTTGCGGATCGATCGAGAAAGAGCGAACAACCTGCTTCGAGGAAATGGACTAGCACAAGACAGGAGAGTGGAAAGCAGAGACGGCGTAATCCAATGCATGTGAACCAGAGGGGTTGAGAGAACGGAACAAGGTGCGGTGAAGACAGAATCGAATCCACCCAGTGCCAGTACGTACCACGTGCCCCTCGAGTCTCTTGTCGTCTTCAAAGTCCCATTTGATCCCCGTGGTGTCGGCATAGAGGGAAATTTGATGCTTGAGCCTTGGTACTTGATTCTTACGTGCCTCGTCCACCATATTGATATCTTCGACTTGTTGGCTGGCTTCTTCGACAGCCATGGCAATCCTTTGTGTCAAGTCATCTCGCATCCGATTCAAATCGGCAATGTCATTGGCAATGGAATCACGTTCTTGGGCAATTTCTTGGAGTTCTTTCTCCATGGTTTCGACATTGGCAGATTCCACTTGACATTTGGCTTCCTCTTGTTGGATTTTTTCCATCAACCGGTCCTGAATGCTTTGTGAAGATGCCTTGATATCCTCTTGTTTACGTTGAAAGTCATGCATCTTTCCCTGACAGTGTTCCACTTCAGCCAGAAAGTCATCCATGGAAGAGACATCCAATTTGAGGTTTTCTCGGACCACCATGAGCTTGTGGTCAAAGGAGGCCGAGTCGATCCATGAAGGTGGAGAATGGTTGTTGGCACCAGCGGGTCTTGAACTGGGGGAGGGTGACATTGCTGCAGTGAAGATCGTTTCCGTCACCACGGCAGGAACACTTGCCACAAGAACATCATCGCCGCGACGCTTGCCCATTGTTATACTTTACCAAGTTGCTTCTCTGGGAAACAGAGAGACAGAGAGGACAATGTCGGGTTGAAAGTTGAAAGATGATGAGAGAGGTGAAGGAAGAGAGGAGAAAAAAGATGGAGCGACATCAACCATTTGAATGAGTGTACAATATCGCTTTGAGTACCGATTGAAGATTTAAAGATGAACCTGTATGGCTCTGATATTTGGCTCGATTCGATTCGATTGATTCGATTTTTTAAATCATTTGGTTCGCACCATCGTACTAGTAGCACACCCATCTCCCATCACCCACATGCTACCGGTACTCTACTAGTAGCTAGTAGCTTCCAGATTCGATCATTCATCATTCCAAAACCAAGTACAGTAACAACACTGTATCATAGCCAACCCACCGCCGCGGCTAGCCTAACGATTTGGCCAAGATGGACGGACTAACAGGATATGGATCGGATTCGTCCTCTTCGATTGGCTCCATGCCAAAGTCTGCAGCTGCTTCCCATACAGCCAACACTAGCCAATCGCAGCCCTCTGCTCAGCCGACGAAAAGAAGACGTCGATGGGATGCGAATGATTCCAAAAAGAGCACAAGTTCCTTGCCAGCACCTCGCCTTTTCCCATCATCCATGCTATGGGACGTCGATTATCTCTCTTCCGTTGATACCACAACTCCACATGCACAAGATATAGACGATTCCGCCAGGACCTTCTTGGAAGAACGGCTGAAAACACTCGACAAAGGCACTGAGTGTGATTCTGGGGTGGCTGCCAAGCTAAAGCAGAGTCATGATTTTCACAACCCACGGTTCCTGGACAATGCAGCCGATCAAATTGGAATCGTCGACATGCTCGGAAGCAACCTGCCCGAACAAGAGGTATTCGAGGACTATGAATACAAGATCATTGAGCTGGAAGGCCAAGCACGGGCCAGAATGCACGAACAAGTAGACCAAGAGCAGCAGGCTCAGGCACGATCAATGTTGCAATAAAAGCAACCTGAAAACACTGAAGTAATCAGAATCGAAATGGGCAGCTATCTAGCTAGCTCTGGCTACCGGTAGATTGTGGATGAAAATGGAAAGAAGCATTCATGGGGCCAGAAGAAAAAAAGCTTCAGGGATCGGGTCACTCATCAGAAAAAGGATGTTGAGGCCTGCTTTGGCTGCGACAGTAATCTTGCCTTTATCTCAAGGCGTACTATGAAACAAGCGAGCCGCCTACCGGGACGGTTCGTTGCATTCGCTTGGTATGTTCCAAAATGACGCTGGAGTTTCTCTAGAGACATAGGAAGCAATGGCATACCAATTTATAAGATCATTTTGTACTCTACTGTTTACTTGGTGGGGACAGGCCGATAGCAGCCGTTTACGCCACAACGTACTCGTACTTCATAAAGTGATTTGATTTGGCTTTCTAGCATCTTCAGAGACGCACCTGCGCACAACCACTCTGCTGGCCATCAGCTAGAGATCCCTCAAGACCGCTCTTTATTTCATACCAACATCACCGGAGCAGTCGGTGGATTCGCTGTTGTCGGGAGCGGTGAACTCGCTGTCGTTAGCTTCAGCAGTGGACTCGCTCTTGTCGGCAGTGTTCGACTCGCCGTCTCCAGCTGCAGCGGTGGACTCGCTGTCTTGAGCCGACTCGGCGTTGTCGGCTTCAGTGGACATGCTTTTTTCAGATCTAGCAATAGCGGTGGGGGACTCGCTGTCTTGAGCTGACTCGGCGTTGTCGGCTTCAGTGGACATGCTGTTCGCAGCTTCAGTGGTGGGCTTATTGTCGTCGGCTTCAGCGCTCAAGAGAGCCTTGAAGGGGAGCCATCGTTCATAGGCATTTTTGCCGATTTTCAGTTTCACAAACATGAAGTCTTCGTTGATGCATTCTCTCACCACCCCGCGATATTCCTACAACACGAGCCACAGGAGAGGACAATGAGACAACCATGACAACACACAAATTTCTAGTCTCAAAGAGGGCAAAGACAGACGATACCTGCTGTCCAGCACGGCATACAACCAGCTTCCCCAGTTTCACATCTTCTGCACGAATCTCTGTGCAGCTTTCTCCCGAAACGGGCGCTCGGAGAGAGCGGTAAGGTTGAAACTCATTGTACACCAACGGCATCCCTTCGAACTGAAGAAGTGCTGCTTGCATGGATGTCTCTACTTTCTGGACCACTCCCTTTGCTCGGCGGCCATGGAACGTTACCTCTACTTTGTTGCCAATGTCGGCAATCTTTGGATGACTGTTGTCACATGATTCCACGACAGACGGAAGGCGGGATAACTCAACTTCAAGCAAAGATTTGGGGCTGCCTGGAAAAGCACTCGATGGCCCAGCAAGGGCATTCGCAGATGCTTTGCGGGGGGCTCCGCGTTGACGAAAGGCAGGCTTTGAAGAAGAATTGCGAAACCGAAAGTCATGCAGAGTACAGTCAACGTCTCGAAGCAGTTTGGCCCACTTTTCCTTTTCTTCGGAAAGTGCGCCAAACAGAGGCTCACCAGATTTGTCGCATACATCCAATCCGTCGGGGTTGCTGATTCCCTTCTCATATCGAATGTGAATCGCGCGGCAGATGTTGCGAAGTGCACGCAGTGTGTTGACCTTTCGAACAATCTCTACTGGGGGGTCCAATATTACCGCCGTTCGGTTGCGTGAGTTCTTGCGTTGCTTTACCACCTCAGCCTCGTAAGCATCAATGTGCTGGAACAGTTCATAAGCTGCATTCCAAATGATAGTCTGATGAGGAATTTCAGGTGCATCGCCATCCGTCATGGACTCGAAGAATGCCCTTAGATTGACAGCGTCGAGAAGAAACCTCGAATACGACAGACAGGGGGTAACATTTCGGCACTGGTGGTATGTGCCTTGGGGCATTAACAAGATTTCGCCAGGTTTGATGACAGACTTGTACATCCGAGCATGTGGCAGCAATGGATTCCTGTGAAGATTAATCCGGTCAAGATTTGCATAGAGATGATCTATACAAGACCCGTCCGAACGGTGCACCAGGAGAACTTCCTTGGTACCAACCACTGGGGCAATGGTAATTTCCAGGCCGCCTGGGTCGCGGTGGATCTTGCTCATGGTTTCTTCTCTTCCCATGAAGATGTACTGAAAGGGGTTGCCAGTCTGCTTATCTTGATAGCTCGCAAGGATATCTTCCCCAAAGATGTCATTGGGCAGCGGATTGTGACAGTTGTCGCCGCAAAGCTTGTACTTCGCCACTGAAAGAGGAAACTGCCACTGGTGCAGATATAAGCGTTGAACATTCTTGGAGGTTCCCTCGCTGGAACCAACATCTGCGGGCCAGCTCCTCTTTAAGAAATATGATGCAGGAACTTCTTTATGGATGGGATTCAATTCATCGTATCCCTTCTTGACAACTGGGACAAACTCGTCTCCTATATCATTCATCATTTTCTGAACATCAACTTCCCATTCTTGAGACAAGTCAAGCCACTCAGTGGGTACAGTATCATCTACTGGGATCGAAGCAGGTGCGGAATATTGGCTCGATGTATCAGAAAGTTCAATTGTCGTGTCATTTGTGGTTCCAAGAATTGGAGACCCAACAGAGGACCCTTCCGAAACTCTAGCTGGTCGGGCAACAGGTTGGTCAATCTCCATACTTGTTTCTGATGAAGCTGCTGTTTCTTTGGCGGTTTCTTCAGGAGTAGACGACTTCAAGCCACCCTCGGATGGTTCCTTTGTTTCTTCTTCGGAGCCTTCCACCGATGAAGCCGCCATGTCTTCCGTAGACGAAGCCGTTACTTCTGCTGTGTCCTCCCCAGATGAAGTTGCTTCTTTGGTTTCCTCAGTCAAAATTGTCGTTTTTCCATCGGTTTCCTCAGAGAGAGTTGTCGTTCCTTCTTTGGATTCCTTTGGCAAAGTTGCTATTTCATCCTTGGATTCCTTGGGCAAAGCTGTTGCTTTTCCATCGGTGTCCTCAGATAAAGTTGATGTTGCATTGTTGGCCTCAATAGGCAAAGCTGATGTTTCTTCGTTGGTTCCACCAGCAGGATCTTTTTCGTCATGCTCTCCGGATGGCTTCCTTAGCCAGCGAGAGGCAAATTGAGCCCATCCAACATGGCCTATTAGGCAGACAGGGGTGCCATTTTCTCTTGCTGCAGTGATCCGCTCTTTTGCATCTGGATCGTTGATATTGATCCTTTGAATGTCTCTAAACGTGACCTGCTCTTGATCATTCCATTCCCACAATTCGGCTGCAGCGGCAGCATCATTGCCAACCTCATCATTCTTTTGATGTCCGTCATCATTCATTTCTGGCTGGCTGGTATCTCCTTCGTTGGTGAATTGAACATCAATGGTTTCATCAACTTGCAATTGTTCCTCTACTTCAGGGGGGTCCTCCTTGCACAGGTCCTCCAAATCCTTCTGCAGAGTTTCATCCATCTCCAGCTTGAATTTGCGGGCAGACTCAAAAAGGGTATCACAGAGATTTGACTCGGGCTCCCATGTGTCATCGTTCGGACCAAAGCCAACCCAGCGAACTCGGAATTCCCAACCACCCATGTCATTCTTCCGAGCATCCACAACATTCTCTGCTTGATACCAATCTCCACCATCATCCTCGGCGACTAGTTTGGCACTACTTTTCTTCTTGTGGACTGTTTCTGTCTTGGGTTTCTTGTTTCGTCCATACTGCTTTTTCTTGCGCTTCCGACCACGGGGTTTTGTTGCTGAGGAGGGAGCCATGGTAAGGTTTTATTGGACTCCACAACAATTATAGTTGTTGGATGCAGCGAGATACCTTGTGTTGACACCCATCGAGTGCTGTATCGTCTATCGTCTTATCGTCTTGGCGGTCGGATCTCGTTGAGCGCCAATGCTGTTCTCATTAGTCCTGCCCTGCTTCCTCGATGCGCCCAGGCCACACCCACGCAAGTCGACATGTGATGGAGAACAACAGAAAGGGGCACTGGTGGGCTCATGAGTACTACTGTAGCTAGTACCAGGTAGTACTCGTAGCTCTAGGGTGATGCTGAGCAGACCAATCACAAAGAAATGGTGCGACCAGGTACTACAGCTAAGAGCTACCGGTAGCATCTGTGGGCCCCGGGCCCACAAGCCAGTTTGAAGGGGAATGCTGCATCTTCAGCTAGTTTGAAGAGAAGGAGCTCGCGAGCACTGAGGCTACAGTGCACGTGGACTACCGGTAATAGAAGGCATCCATGTCAATCAAGGCTACGGTACCGGTACCTGGTGGCCAAAACGGAGAGCTGCCCATCTGTTCAGACCCCACAGCAGATCAAAATGCTCGTGCCATTCGGCTCCACGCACGTACAACACCATTGACACTGCCAACTGACAGTAGGTGACTAGCTACCTCCATTATCAATATAGTCTACAACAGTCGTACCTGAACATGCACATAGTGATGACAAACAATGGCAATAACTCCAAGGGTTTTCATCGCGACCTCTTGGAGCGTCCAGCTCAAAATGAGCCCAGGCGTCTCGGACGACGCCAACTTCGACGTGCTAGTGGTTTGCCCTCTTGCTCTTCTTCTTCCTCGGAGGATGCACCGTCGCAAATCGCAACGGCTGGTGATATCATCTCTAACGCGTGCTCACTTGCCGATGACGAAGGGGTTCTTTCCTCGGAGTCAAGCGCCGCTGCCGTCGCGGATAGATGTGTCGGTTCGGCACTGCCCGGTGATGATTGTATTGCTTGCACGTCCTCCACAATGCCAATCTCCACATCAACCTCTACGTTTCCAGTTTCTGCGACCGCACCATCAAAATCGTCAGCGTCAGCATCAGCATCCACGGAGGCACCACCACTCTTCACAGACTCAGCCACGTGTTCGGGTGCGCTCGTTGTTGTTGTACTGCTGCTGCTGTTGTTGTCGTCGTCGTCGCTGTTGCTTTGTTGTTGCAATGAAGATGCTTGTTCCATTGCGTGATCCTCGTTGCCATCCAAGATTTCCGTTCCTTCTCCAAAGCAAATCTTTTCGCACCGATCTCCACGAAGTTTCTTCAACTCTGCCTTGGTAATGCCCGGCTTGAGCTTTTCCTTAAAGAGTTGGGAGTAATAGCGCGCTGCTGTGGGTGTATCGGATGTGACGCCTCCCACTCCTGCTTTGATGTGGCCGCACTTGAGAAGAATCATACTGGTGGTCGAATTCGTATTCGTAGCAGCCGGTGCCGGAGAAGACGCACTAATGTCGTTGTAGTCTTTGTCGGATTTGGTGGTTACATCGGACAGTCGTCGTTTGCTTGTATTGTTGTCACAAGACGGTTGTACGTTCGAGTCTGATGATGCTATTGGCACCGTGACTAATCCATCTTGAATACAAAAGTACGTTCGTTCAGCTCTTCTTGCTCTTAGATCGGACAATTCTTTGAATACCTTCATGGTGATCTTTTTCTGATAGCGATCAACGGGCAGAAAGATCTCTCGACAAAAGGGGCAGTTGTTGTGTCGTAGCAACCATTCCTTGATGCATTGATGATGGTATACATGAGAACAACTTTCGTAGGAACTCCAAGACACCACATCCTCCACAACAAAGGCTTCCATGCAAACGGGACATTCGCGGCAACCATCATCGTCGTCGTTGTATCCTTCATTTTCGTCATGATCCTCAGTGCCATGATCGTAGTTATGATCGCCGCCCAAACAGGAAGACTCAAAGCTGTCCACTGAGAGGAGCGTCTCGGCTGTGGTGGTAGATTCGGCGTGTTTCATGCATGGGGCCGTGGAGATGCCGAAAGGTACTTGATTCTCAACATCGGCAGTGTCATCCGTAGAACAAGAGGCTTGTTTGGGATCCGTGGCAGTATTATCCGTAGGGGTGTTCTCTGTTGGTGCAAGGGATTCCTCTGATGGCAGCGATGCTGGTTGTTGTGTTTTGGAATATCTCGTTTGAATCCTTTCGCAGCCTTCGTCGTGGGGTCTGACAACCTGCAGAAGCAAAGAAGAAGCGTTGAGACGATATAGAAGATTCGTTCTTTTAAAAGACGCCAGTCTTCCTGGAATCCTACCTTTGTGATGAGCCATCCTTCAATGGTATCATATCTTCGATTGATACGTCTTTTGCTAACAGGCATTCTCCGCTTGATGAATCGCACCAGTGGATAACAGAGCATCCCACCCAGAATGACCCACAGCATGACGATCAAGGCAATCAGGATCCCAACGACAACCCAGTTTCGGGGAGGTTCCACGTACATGGTTGTGGTATTGCCTTGGTTGTTGTTGGTATTCGAAATGATAGCTACCCCAAAGCCGACATCCGCGCTAGCTTCAGGTGCAGCTGTGACTGTATAATTGTGTTGTTGGTAGGTGTGTTCGAGGTGTCCTTCATCCTGGCTATTGCTGTACCGCTGTTGGTATTCGTGTTGGATCGACGCGGGATCTTTATCGGTATACTCATTGTCGTAGCCATTGCTCACATCATAGTCCTTTCCACCCAAACTTCCTTGTTGATGTTGGATATTGCTGTTGTCGTTGGTATCGTTGTTTCGGGAAGCCGACATGTTGAGAAGAAGGAACAAAGGACTCGACAGGAAAAAGTGGGAAGAAAGAGGGAATCCAACTAACTCTACTATCTATTGTTCCACTGTTCCACTGCTACCCTTTCGACAAGGAAAGTAGTTATCCTTTCTTCTTCGTAGAGATGCTGTAATAGATAGACAGTCAAAAGCAACTAGCAGGCTATAGCAACCGGCGTCAAGAACAGTGCATTGTCTCGACGAAAATGGTCTTTTGCTGCCAATACAGCCGTCACTGCATGCTTTGACTTGATTTGCCAAGACTTTCTCTTGCACAAAATACCCTCAGCGTACTGGGACTTGAATCCTCTCAATTATTCTCAACGAGGGCTCTGAGGAGTAAGCCCAGGATCACGCACATAAGAAACCGAGTTGGAGCCGGCTGGCTTCACTGTACTTAGGGAGAATCACGCCACTTAGCGTCACATACACGTAGCAATAATCCCGCAAAGCTGTCAAGGATCCGTAAGCTGGGTAGGAAGACAATATTTCGTCTCCTGGAGACGATTTGCTTTAGGGGTAATGGTACCGATGGGGGCAGAGGTTTGAATTATACCCGGCGCGCATTACTTAGAAGGCCCTGTAGAAGTCTACGTATTCGACTAGTATTGTATTGACGGGATACAGTCAACGCATGTACATGCACATGAAAGTCGCCTTGCGTTCTTCACATTTTAAAAGTTGGCTCCTATTTTTCGGGGTCGCCTGTGATTTGATTGGACGCTTGATCTTTTTTCAATGACTGACATTGAATGACGTACGAGGTGCAATGCGAATCTCAGAAAGGTAGTTGTAGTAATAAAAGTTTTTATATATAGATTATTTACCCTATATCCCTACCTTTTATACTTATAACAAGAACCGTCTTCTCGCTGGAACATTCATCGTATTGATCTTCTCTAGGACAGAAGCCCAAATGGTATTCCTTTAATCTTGAGCATGTCTTCATTCGTTGTGGCATGGCAAAGTTCTTTGGATCCAATCCAGCTTCTTCAATAAGAACAACCACTCATGGTTCGCAACCTTGATAACACCACGTAAGCCCAGTTTTGACAAGTATCGCCATGAATGTACCAATATAACCACACTGCAGTATATTCCTGTAATTTGTGTCCAGTTGTCGCAGAATTGCTGATAATCGGGAACTGCTTACCTTCATCTTGGTGTGTACAACTTCTCCGTAATAAAACCATCTGTTCTGAAAGTGTAGTCTTGTCCGTTACATAAAAAGTACGTGGCATAATAGTCTCCATTTCATGTTCCACAGGATAGATTTGACTTGACCTGAGAAAAAAGCCCGAATCTTGCAGCCGTGTCGAGTTGAATAATCATTGGGGTGCAACGGATCCCTCACAATTCACCTTTCTCACAAAAAGACCAGAGATCCATTGGTTCTCATTCGGAACATTAGTGTTCTATGTAAAATTACAGGACAACCCCTTATAATAACTTCAAGCAGGATCAACACGTTTTCGTGAGTCCGAACCGGGTTTTAACGAGTTTCCCCACATGTTGAAAAGAAGTTCTTTAAAACAAAATTGCTCTTAACAGGAACAGTGTCCCTGCTTGATTGCCATGAAGTATCGTCCATTTGAAAAGAGTACTGAATCATCAGCACGGGATCATCAGCAGGTTTGTTCTTCCCGCAAAATCTTCTTCGAAGATAGCTGAGTTAATGGCATTCTCGATCTCGATTCAGATAAAGTAGCAACTTGAATGTTCTCTGGTGAACATGGGTTGGGCAACCACGCAGGCGTCCTTGTGGTCTCAATATCTTCTTTCTGTTGGTCGCCCTTCACGGTAATCTTATACAGCGTTGCCCCCATTCAGGTATCGTCTATGAAGCGGTGCATTCCATATAACTCAAAAATGAATTAAGAGAGTCAAGAAATTCAGGAATGGTGTGTTGAAGATTGTAAATTGGGGTGCGTCCCACTGGTTCAAAGTTGAGAGTAGTCACCCCGGGTGAACACCATAGTTACAGTCCCCAAATGTTGGTATTCTGTCTTTGCATCAAGTGCACTACGCTAAAGAGCTAGTGTAAAGATTTTGCGGTGTTTTGAGTTTGAGGAATAAAGTTATAGAGAGATTAGAAGCTATTGACTATCAACGAGAGAGATTCAACAATCAAAGGGTCGTAGTCTGAACTCCGCGGGAGACGTGTAAAGTGTGATAGAGTAGATTTCGGTAGCAATCCTACTCACGTCCACGATCCATAAAACGGAAACCGTGGAAGATTCGTCTGCATTTAATCTAGTAGCGTGGAATCTCTCCGCCAGCTAAATTCTGAGCGCATGTTTCACTATCGACCTAGTATGACTAGGTTCATTGAGAACCTGTCTAATGATATTCACGAAGGACTCAGTCATGAGTCGAACTCAACCTATCTAGGATCGAGTCCGGAATAGAGGCTAAGAGCCGTGTATGCACTTCGCCCCCTGGACAAGGGTCCAGAAGGCAGACAGTCAGATCGGACAAGAGGAACATATTGAATTAAAAGTGCGGGAGGATGTGTCGCGAATAAGGCTAAGTGCTCGTGTTATCGCATTCGCCCGCTGACAAGGGTCACGGAGGCACGACATCAGTCGGACAAGGAGAACATATGAATTAAAGTGCGGGGCACCTATTTGAGGACCATGTCTCGGAGATTGGATGTAGAGATTGTGCGTCGCACCATGGCAATCCTACAAGGGTCAGGCCTTGTAATGGGTGTAAATACCTTACTGTTCCAAGTCTGGTAGACTGTGCCGCTATTGCAGGTAGTATGTCGGAGCCATACAGTACATTGTTATTGACTCCGGTCTGTGTTGTAGGCCTTTGTGCGTTGGCTGACGTATTAACGGGTCTGATAATGATGATATATCATAGTGTCGTTGACATGGTGTTGATGAGGAGGACAGTGCCGTGTTTCTATTTCGGTGTTTTTCGGATGAGGTCGTTGGGCGCGTTCCTAATGTGATTACGTCTTGCTTTGAAACGGATGTGGTGAAGCTTGTCACTAGACGCGCGACCGTTGTGTTGTTGGAGAGAGATTACACGGAAGGAGGAGCCAAGGAACTGCCTTCACTTCCTTTCAACTACAAAGTGCTGCTGACCTAGTCGGAGGTACTGTTGGCGAGAAGTGGATATGGACGACTACGAAGTAGAACTTCGTCGCGATCTAAACCTATCAACAGGGCTTACCTATCTCCACGGGTCCATACCAACACTCTTAAGAGGAGGTTGAACGTCTCTGCGAGGCAGGGACTCAAGAAGGTAAACGTCCAGTGGGGGGCACCAACTTTATCATTCCAAGAAAGAGGATCTGTACGATCATCTCTGTATTTCGGGAACGAACAAAAAGATTAAGCGAAGCCTTATCCTATCCCAAAATACAGGACATGCTCTTGAACTGAGGATTCAAGTGCGCTACCAGTCTAGACCTGAACACGGGATACTACCACATCGAGCTGTCACCTCACTCGAAGCAACACTATACCATTGCACTCCCGAAGGGAAAGCACGAGTACCAGAGGTTGCCAATGGCCTATGTAATAGTCCCGACATCTTCCAAAGGAAGATGAAAGACGATGCATGACTTAGAATTGTCCGTGCATAGTTTGATGATCAACTCATCCAACGGACGTCGATCTCGCAGATCGCGTGAACAGTAGGATGACCTTTCCCCAAAGCTCCAAGAAGTCGGGATTGAAATCTAACTACGCAAGGCCTCCTCGAGGAAGAACGAGTATCTAGACAATTGGACTTCTCGAAGGAAGCCAACTCTTAACTAAAAAGATAACAGATGCGATCCAAGCTATCGCTCTTCCTACCAACAGGAAGTAACTTCGCGTAGATCATTGGACCAATGAACTACCAAGGGCTGCTCCACGACAGCAGACGGAGTAACCATCGTTCTGAACCAGACGTTGGTTACCCAGTGTCCATGACCGGTCGTCATGGACAGAGAACGTGAATCCCGCGTAGAGGTCGAGAAGACTCTCCGGGATGAACATGGACTCGTCGCAAGATCA